AGCCAGTCCGATTCGGGCCTCTGCATCGGTCAGTGTGCGAAAGCAGAACCCAAAGCGGATAGAAATGGTGCAAAGAAGAAGCTGCAGCCCGACCGCGCCTTTACCGAGTATCCCAACGTCGGTACTTTCTCTATCGATATGGGCAGCGAAAAGACCGAAGGGTTTGCTGAGCCGGCCACGGTGTCGGTACTAACATTCCGTACCCCCGAGACCGTACCAGCTTCTATTGAAGGGGAAACCGTAAGTACCGAAATGATGACACAACATATATGCGGATATATCTTTTTTCTACCATGTGCCTATTCGGTCCTGAGACACGACCCGCAAACATACGTCCTCGTTGATATCTACCTACCTAAGACGAGCGCACAACTGTTATAAAGTCTGGCAAGGCCAAAACAAGTCGTCATCCCAGTGTATCATTCGAGGTAAAAACGCCAACTCCAATCACGGTAAGTTCTTTTATACACAGAGATCGGTTATTGTTCCGATAAGGAACCGTGTACAAAATTCTAACGGTATCTCTTGAAGGTCTTCGACCTATTTCCACAGCAAATATGTCGTGGGGGCCGTTCATAAGTGACTGCATCTGCAAGACGCTAGTCTTCTTCAACGTCCTCGTCATACAAGCCCGCCTGACCTCGCGACTTACCCCGAGTTTCTCCAAAAACCTTGACACGATGCTACCGGGGCACAAAAGAGTCCTGTTCTCGTGGCTGAATCCTTCGGATTCGAGGCTGAACGCATTCCTGGTCCTCGTCAGTGCCTTGCTCTCGGTCGTGCTCTGGGTACAGAGCCTCCGCACTATCGGGCTACCGATTGGCTGTTTTTTGGCCTTGGTAGCGCTCTACTCCGACACGCAATTAGGGGAAAGCTTCGTCCCTCATTCGGCTCTTTTGTTGATGTGCTGCAGTGCGATGTATCTGGGGTAGTAGAGAAAGCATCACAAAGGCAATGGATGTTGTGCTGGATACTGTGCCACGCATTCAGGTGATTTGGCGCAACCGATGTAGCCGCGCGTTTGCAAAATCTTTCTTTATCGGGTACTTTAGCAACAAGCATGAGCTCTTGGACTGTGCCAGCTGCATTATATGTACCAATAATATGTAACGCCTTCCTCCCGCGTCACGAAGTCTTTGATCTTCTGGTAGAGAGAAGTCATCCAACCAAAGAGCCTCCGGGAGACCGGTCCGCTAGCGTGAGGCTAAGGAGTGGGCCCGCGCGTAGACGGCCAAAGCTTCACCCCTATCATGAACGTGGACGTGTGGAGTCACTTCGTACAGACCTCGCATCGTCAGCACATCGCACGCTCAACAATTCTGTCAAGAATGGGGGCTAGTCCTCGATCATTATTTCACACCCGCTGTGGTCACATATTGCGACATTCAATATTGCAATCTACCGTCCCCACTTCGCCTTCTCATTCCCACTCTATCGACGCCGTCATCCACATTGTCGTTTCCAACCTGCTCACTACAAACTGTCACAGCGCCTTGAGCGCAGCAACGATGAAGCACACCCAAGCCGGTAGATCCGTAGTCCACGCCCTAATCCAATTCATCCGAAGCCAAGATTCCATGGAGATGACAACATTGCCCTTTGGAACGTTCTTCTCGATAGCCGCGATGCGCTGCAGAGCCGTTGGCGCAAATAGCATGTGGGCTAAGCTGAAGAATAGTCCCCATGCATACCACGTTGTCGAGCCATATTGATGCTCGGGTATAAGCAGGTTGAGAATGCCGAGAAGGTAGTTGACAGGGTAGAAGATGATAAGGACCCACTGCCATCGAAGACCGCCCCTGGTCCACCAGGCAGGAAGGTTAGAGTTTGCCAGTGGGCGGATGGGACCCTGCACCCAGGTCCCAAAAATCAGGTGCTCGTCGAGGGCGAACATGAGGGTCATAGAGGACACGAGCGCCGGACTGAGGCGAAGAAGCGGCAGAGAGATCTCGACGAGTGACATGGCTGGTCCGATCGATAGGCAGGTAAGAATGTAAAGTTGACAGAGGCCAAAAGCTGATTCCCGTGCTTTCGGATCAAGCAATATTTGGAATTTGCAAAGCTCTGGAACTGACAGCTGAGAGGTCTCCTTCTTGCACGCGATTTATCCCTGTGATTGCATCAGTCCCTTTGCTTCCAAACTGAGCTGGAACGTATGATGTGGGAAGATTGGAAAGTCCCGAATACATGGGCACGTCTGACCGTCTGACAGCGCGTCAAAATCACGCCACTCGGCAATCATGTCCCAGGCGAATTCACCGAAGCTTACTCGGCTCGGATTACCCCATAGATTTGGGCAGTACCGTTCCCACGGCTTTGTGGTATGCTTACTCATGATTTAGGACACCCAAAAGCGCATTAGAGTATCCTAAGTGTATCCTTCTCGGGCTCGGCCCCGAATAAGTTGAACAGTCAACTCTCCTAAAATTTGTGGTACGTCTATAATCTTATTGACGGTGTGTATGAAAGTCTACCTGCTAAAAATGCCGCTCGATTTTGTCACACATCGATATCCTTCATACTGGCTTGTAAACGAGCTCATGTAATCCTCGGATCTCCTCCTTCAGCGCTTTAGTCCCGGCTCTATCTGCCGAGCCATTTCCGCATCCTTCGCTTTTCAGCATCAGTTCAAGGAGGTGCCGCGGGATGACACTGCTGCGAGTATCGCTCTCGCATCTATTACCGCTTGAGCCGGCCTCGCATTCGTTCGGGTAGCCCAGTAAACGGCCAATTTTATCCACCATTCTCACCACAGCTTGAATGAGGACAATTATTTGCAGATCCGGATCGGGCGGTAGGGAGACATCCATTATGTTGAGGAATGAGATCGTGAAAAGATTGATTTGGCGACGTGTGGCGAACAACCCTGCTCGAATGGCGGCAAAGGTATTTCGACAGAGGTGCAGGAGATTTGTGTGACAAGACAGTAGCAGAAGACTCGTAGGCATGTCAACACTAGTACTGTGAGACGATTCGTGCGCTACAGTGAAGTCGACGCTGCTATCTGTTCGACGCCTTTTCACTGGCGATCGGCCTGTCGTCTCAGATATGCGGCTTCTTGAGTCATCAATGTCCAACTCTTCGACCGGGCTTAGGCAGCTGCTGGTCACAGTGCTAAACTTGAGGTTGTCATGTGAGCCGAACGTAGCGGAGTGATTGGGTCTGACGATATCCACGAGCAGCCGGTGGTAGGTTTGGAGGCTTTGCATCATAAAGACGACAGTATCACAGAGCGTTCGGTTCTCCTCCGGTGGTGTAGCTAAAGCCGTCAGACCCAAAGCCGAGTCATTGTTCGTAAAACCAGTTCCTGTAGAGGTTGCCGCGCCCAACTGTCGGGACAGCTGCATGTTCAAATCTGACAACTCTTGCATTATCTCTTGGCGCATCGGTGAATAGCGACTGCGTCCGTTGAGTGGCTCGGTGAAACCGATTGCTGCTTGTTCGTATTCGGTGCGAGCTGGAATAGATTGGTCCGCGGAGAGATCCATATTTGGAATGAGAAAGTGTTCGGTCGGTAGGTTTACCGATTCGTCGTCGAGCGTACCTTCCCCAGGCAGTGCAAAATCGAAGGGGTCAAGATACTGAACCGTAACACTTTGAAGCGTTGGGTCAACCGGTGTGTCGTCGAGATCATGTACTAGCCAGGCATCGGTATCCATGGTAAAGTCGACAGCGGTTCTCGTTTGAGATTCAGCTTCGGGAGGAGGTGATGATCGTGTAGTATGGGATGGGTGGTGAGCACTGCCGCTGTTCTCTCGAGGCTGCTCCTTGTCTGCCCGTCTCGGTCTTCCCATACGTACCCCGGTATCGATGATACATGTTGCACCAGCTTTCTGACACCTCTCGCAAGGGGTCTTAGAGTTCGAGCTCCGTATGCATCGGAGCTTTTGGCCTCGACACCTGTCACAAGCCAGCTGTTGGGACTTTTCTTTTCTCGGGTTCTCCACTAGAGACCCTGACTTGCAACCCGAGAAGCAGCTGGAAGAATCTAGGCGTGACATGTTGGGAACAAAGAAAGGCCAGCGTGTAAATCATGCGAGGACATGCTAGGTTGGTAACACCTAGACAGGTAAGGACGAACGATGGTGATAGTGCGAACTATATGCCGTGCCTCCCCAATGTATAAACCAAGGCTAGTCTTCAGCTACAGGAGTAAGTGAGACTTCTCGGCAAGCTTGCGATAGTGCTATGACCGTCTTACGTGAGGTTAATGGTGTACAGCAGAAAACCTTGTATGACACGAGAAGGCTGATAGGATTGACGCTATTGTTGTCCTGTCCCGCAGACCAGGTGCTTATCGCAGTGCCCAGAGCGGCGTACTGCTGCTCGGCGGAGAGTTGGTGGTGCAGACACAGCAACCACTCAATCAAGAAACCTGCTCTCCCGAGCGTTGCGGAATGTGAAGGATCAGAATGCTAGCTGAGGTGTGCAGTTGTGGCATAATCGCGATGTGTTAGTGGATGGAAGAAAAAGCCAATGTCCCCAAGGGCATCCCTTTGGCTCCTCGTCCAATTGACGGGATGTAATGGGACTTGCCGTAAAGGATTCAAGGTCGCCGAGCAGCATGCATGGTAAATCGTTGGTACATTAAACGAAGGCGTGACAGTGCGACCCCAAAACGCGGGATACGGCGGCGGGCCGTTGGGCCACCCGCAGGAGCCACCCGTAGGCTGGGTGGGGATCTGATTGCGAAGTTACACCAGGACGCCTCTCACATGGGGAAGGATTTCTCCGCTACGACCTGAGGACGACTTTATCCTATTTTCGTCTTACTCGCAGCTCTCGTCATCTAATCGCGTCATATACTTGTTGGGTTTGGTAGAGTCAATATGTATATGAGACACGCGAATGTAGTATGCTTACCGGAAACGTTGCGCGGTGACCATCTGTGGCTGAAGATGTGGCTTGATATTACCCGCGCCGGCAAAAACGCCGGCACGCTAACCTAATCAAGGTACGGAATGTATACACCGGTGAAAGGAAGTGAGGTATCTACCAACATGCGTTTGGGGGCTTATTCACACTTGAACGCCGTAAAGGTCAGGCCACCTGCAGGAAGCCTGTCGACCGAGTCGAATCACTTCCACGTTCATCGTATCAACCGCGGAGGATCGCAAAACCCTGCGAGGCCGATCATACCCATCCAACGAAACCCTCCGCGGTGGTTACCAGACTTCATGCACCATTGAATACGTAGGCACACACAGCTTCTCCCATGTAACCGAAGGTGCAACTATTCCCAGGCGCTCCATCAACTTACTATACCAAGGTTTTAACACCGCCCGTTACTCACGCATCATTGTACTACAGCTCTGGTACCAGCCACACGGTCTACCTATCGTCCGACAGGTCCCAACGCTACTCAAACCTGACATCCTGGCTGTGCAAGATGACACAGCAAGATCCAGCCGTCCGGAACCCGGAGTCAAAACAAGCTTCGGTCGATGCACAGGATCCAACAACGGAGAAGAACCCGTCAAAGTTCCAGAAGGGTCCAAGGTTCTGGGCTATCATGGTTGTGCTCTCGCTAGTGAGTCTTCTCACGGCTCTGGAGGCCACAGTCACTTCGACGGTCATGCCATCGCTCGTCGCCGATCTGGGTGGGGGCGAAGAGTTCATCTGGGTCTCTAATGCATACTTCTTGACTATGTAAGGCTCTTTGGAACAAAAGGCTCACACTCGAGCGATGAACGCGGGAACTAATCTGTGTAGGACTTCTCTGATGCCCATGTATGGACAGCTCGCTAATGTATTCGGTCGCCGATGGCCAATGATCATATCCGCGGTCGTCTTCATGATAGGGAGCGGTGTTTGTGGCGGGTAAGTTGTCACTCCTCTGGTGCTCGAATCGCGATCTGGCTTTTCTCGTCAAGCTCGAAGTCTTTGCTGATGAGATGAATGCATAGAGCAACCAATATATCCCAAATGATCGGTGGCCGAGCAGTGCAGGGTATTGGAGCAGCAGGAGTCGCCGTCCTCTGCGAGATCATCATCTGTGACTTGGTACCACTTCGCGAGAGAGGTACCTACATGGGCGCCGTGTTTGGCATGGTCGGTCTCGGAGCTGCTCTTGGTCCTTTCTTCGGCGGACTGCTCGTGAGCTACAGCACCTGGCGCTGGGCTTTTTACATGGCTCTTCCAATTGGCGGTGCTGCAGTTATATTGTTGTTCCTCTTTTTGAAGGTCAAATACGATAAATCCCAGACTTGGGCCACCAAGGCTTCGAGCCTCGACTGGCTGGGCAACGCGCTTTTTGTCAGCGGCTGCGCTCCGGTGTTAGTTGCCATTGGCTGGGCAGGAGGAAGATATTCATGGTCCTCTTACCAAGTCCTCGTACCGCTCTTGGTTGGGTTGGCAACGTTGGGAGGCTTCATCGCACTCGAAGGTAATGCCCGCCTCACGCCAAATCCCATCATGCCGCTCCGGCTCTTTGGGAACTCTATGAGCGTCATCGTCTTTCTGCTCGCATTTCTCCACGGCATGGTCACTATGTGGACACTTTACTTCCTCCCGGTATATTTCCAAGGCGTTCTCGCAGTAGATGCATACAACGCCGGCATATACCTTCTCCCCACCATCCTCGCACTTCTCCCAGGTGCGATCATCGGCGGGCTTCTACTTAGCAAGTTCGGCCGCTACAAGCCCATTCTCGTCACTGCCTTCGCCTTGATTGTCGCCGGATTTGGCGTGTTCACACTCCTGGATGAGACGTCGAGTGCAGGTGCGTGGGTGGGCTTTCAGGTGCTTGAGTCCTTTGGCGCGGGCTTCGGCATGGGGGCTATGCTTCCCGCGTTGCTAGCCTCTCTAACTGACAAGGATACCGCAGTAGCGACGGCCACTTGGGGCTTCATGCGAAGCTTCGGCGTCTTGTGGGGCGTGGCCATCGCCGGTACCGTCTACACCAACCGAGCTGCACAGCTGGCTCGCTCGGGGACTATCAGCGACACAACGGTAGCGGCTCTTTTCATGACGGGTGGCGCGTACGGCGCAGCTGAAGTCGATTTCCTTGACACGCTATCCGCTCAGACGCGTGCGCAAGTGATCTCCGTACAGAGCACCGCGCTTCAGCGATCCTGGCAGGTCGCCATTGCCTTTGGTGGAGTGGGTCTTATTGCTGCTGCTCTGCTGAAGCAGGTACCGCTCAGGAGCGAAAACGACACCGAATTTGGCATGACAGAGAGTAAAGACAAGCCTATGGAGGAGGAAGCGAAAGGTACAGCAAAGGATGAGATTCCAGGATTGTAGTTATATCCATCGCCTAAATGTCAAGAGGGGATGGAAGCCACACATACATAGAATTTCCCAGCGGAATGAACGTTTGGTTCAATACCTAGGTAGCTCAATGATGCAGGTGTATTGGTAACAACTGCTAGCTCATGTACATAAAATCAGAGTCTGAAACCAAACAACACGAGATGATTTCACCAGCGTTCGACCGTGAATTCCAGAAACCGGCCACTACGCTCCTTCACACGCACCTCGACATGGCCCCGGTTTAAAGTGGGGCGACGCTTGCCGATTGGCTAATCTCAAACCCTCCTCGGGGGGTTTACCACGTGACTAACCCGCGCAACAACAGTCAGCCTATCCTGATCAAATCATGCGAACATCTATCCTTTAGCTCAGTTACTTTCCATTCCAAGGTTCCCATTTCCGCGTCTGTCCAAACACGACACCAACTAAAGGTATGCACAAGTCCGCAGTCCAGCGCTCCGCGTGTAACCTAAGGCAGAGATACAAAGTAAGTACGCAGTGTGTAGAGATAAATACATAAGCCAAAATCCAAAGTAATAGATTCTAGATAGAATCAAGCCACTGCCGCTACGCTTCCTACTAGCGCTAGGGGGCGGCAATAAGTTTATTAAGGCTCTAAGGTGCGCGGGGCTACGCCTACGCTAGCTACTTGCGCTATAGGTAGATGCAATATTTCGCGTTAGGTTACCGCTACAGCGCGCGCAATTATTACCTTTAGTAGTAATCTAACGTAAGCCTTTCTAATAATACGCGCACAGGTCTAGAATAGCTAGTAGTTAAGTAAAATATAGCGTACGCATATATTAGTTAACGTAGCTATAACTACATAGGTTCTAGGCTAAGAACCTCTCTCTATAGAGTATCTACCTCTTCTAGCTTAATAGAGAGTTACACAACGCTATACACTACATTCTAAAGAATAAGCTATAGTAAAGAGACTATAATAGAGTAGACTAGAATAGCTAGCTAAGAAGCTAAGAGCTAGAAGAGTAGTAGTAACTGTAGAAGAGAAATCTAAATGCATAAAGTATAGCTAATAACGTTGCTTATTAAGTTAGATAATGTCTACTAGTAGAGGAGGCTAGAGAGAAAGTAAAGAGTAGGTAGTACTAAGCACTTAACTGCGTAACGTACGAGAGCTATATAAACTAATATAGAGTCTATTATAATAAGCATATAAAAACTACTACTTTGTTAATTCTAGCCTATATTATATCTATTACAACTTATTACAATGCTACTAAAGAGTATTAGAAACGCTATAAAAGGCAGAGCTGCTAAATTATTAAAGACTACCGCTAAGAATAATACGCCTATAGCTTTAATAGAATTGTAATAGACTAAGACTCTAACTACTATTTGCACCTAACTTATAGCTGTTGCTAGTTACCTCTAAGAGGCCTATACTCTAAATATTCTACGTAGTGCATATGTAGATAATTCTATAATTTCTATTATCTAAGGTATGTATATCTTAAGAGCTAGCTAAAGACGTACTTACAAGTTTATAGGCTATAAGAGCGTAGAAGCTAATAGTGCTCTACTATTTTATCTGTCTAATGCAAAGAAGAATTACTCTTAAAATAATTCTACTGCAACCTAGGCTACAGCCTATAGCAAGATAAATAAGAATTAAGAGTATTACTAAGTACTATAATTTAACATTAAGTTAACTCTTAACTAAAGCTAAGTAGTTTATGTCTCTTTTATTATTCTGTGTTCTAGTGCGCAACAAGATTAGGTGTATATTCTACCTTAGAGATTATACTAGACCTTACCTTACAGACGTAATAGTTATAAGTTAGTAGCTCTCTACGCTGTCTTTATTTAGCAACTCTCTAAAGCTCTAGCAAATCTTAAAGCTATATCTAAAAACTAAGATAATAGCTTTGTAAACCTATCTACTAATGTCTACTTATATAGATAGAACGTTCTGCACTTAAAGCCTTATCTATATTAACTACTACGTATTAGCGCGCTAACTAGCGCTAGAAGCTAGGCATCTATAGATGCTTTCCGCGAGTTTCTATTAGAATTCTATCTTAAACTCTACAAAAATCCTACAAGCCTATATATTAGCGACACAGTTCTTATAGATTATATAAATTATCGCTAGTACTTTATTAAGTATAAACAAAACTTTATAGCGCGCGCACACACTAGACTAATTAGAGCGTTTTAGTCTAATTAAACTATATAGCATTTTATTACAATTTCTCTTTCTACTAGTAGAGTAGTTCTCGTACACTAAGATCTACAGTCTACTAATAACTACTTAGATTATATTAACAAGCTTCTTAAAAACGTCTTAACACTAATTTCTATAGAAGTAGTAGTACTAAACATTAGAATAGAGAGAGAAACACCTATAGTAGACAAATAGCAAAAGCTAGCTAATTTTGTAACATAATTCTATAGATATACTAAGGCATTACTAAATACCGCACTAGATACTACACTAGACGCTACACTAGACGCTATACTAGGCGCTACACTAAACGCTACACTAGACGCTACACTAGACGCCTTACTAAAGGTATAGTTCTAATTAGGTACTACAAATCTTGCACTATTATTAGAATTAAAACGCGTAACTTGTAATGCGATTAATCTCTTAAGAGTTTATTAAATTCTTAACACTTAATCTAAAGCTTACGCTAGAACTAGACTTATTATAATTATGTTACTAAGCTACTCTTTTGCAAAAGTAACTATTTATAAATATAAGTAGATAATACTTAATAGCATTTACTTCTATAGTAATAGATTATTACTTACTTCTTATATTCGCGAGGCTGCTGTACCTCTAACCTTATTTCTAGAAGTAGATTAAAGCTCTTTATAAAGTAAAGATAGAATATAGAGTAGATAGTATATTAGCTAGACAGATTAGATCTATACGTGCTTCTACTATCTACGTATTACAATTAGAGTCTAATTATTAAAGACTAAGATTAAAGGCAACAGAAAGAGCTCTATATAGAAAGATATAGGTAATAAAGATGCCTTTACTATTTATAAGCTACTACTTTCTAAACTTCTAGAGCTTTATATAGTCTATATAGAAAACACAAAGCAATAGAAAGAGCACGTAGATATAGCTACTAGAGACCTAATCGCTAAATCTTTGCAAATTAGATAGCGTCTGCCTACTATAGCTATAATTAGAGATAAAAAGACTATATCTAGCAGCCTGTATACTAGAGAGCTTTAGCAATAACTATAAGATATTTTATTATCTAAAAATTAGTAAAGCTTTAATGCGCTTATGCAAAGCATATAGCTATATAGAACTTAGCTTCTCTTTTATAACTATAAAAGTAAGAAGAGAAAGCAAATTCTACTCTATAACAAGTGTTTTAACACGCTTAGCTACTATAACAAAGAAGAGAGAACTAA